CGGGGCGCAGGATGTGCGGTAACCGCGTGGGCACCACGTGCTGCTCCGCGGGGTGCGGGACGTGCCGTAACCCCCGCGCGGCCGAGAGCAGCTCTCAGCAAAGCGCCCTGGAAACGGCCCCGCTCGCAGAGCGCAGCCCGGCTCGGCTGGGCTCCGAGAGCCTCAAACCCGGACCGTACACCCGAGTTCCCAGCCTAGACACCCTGCGCTCCCGAATCTGCCAGCTCACGGCTCACTGAGGCCGGCTAATATCCCCGTTCCGTAACTCACAGGAGCAGCTGGCCAAAACAGAGCTGAAGTCTAATGCAGGATGTATTCCAAAATTTGTAGTACTAATAGCATTGTTGCCATGACTACTTTAAACCAATGAACCCCGCGCTCTACAAACAATGCTTATGAAAATGGGAAATTACTTTGAAAGCATAAATTATATATAAATTGACAACGAAAGTAATCATTATACTGACCGAAAACCAACTCTTCGTGTATAATGCAGGCAGTTCTTAGTGACATGGGTCTGGAAGTGGACAGATCTGCAGATTGCTCCACATTCGGGACACGTGTATGGAGATTTATGCTGATGGATTCTCTGGTGTGATGCAAAACTGCACTGGTTAGGAAGCAGCATCTGGCAGATATTGCATGTCTTCTAAACGACAAACCAAATAGATGAAACAAAAGGTTTGGTTCAGCTACATATCATTTCTTGTGTCAAGCACTGTAATATATTAAAGAAAAGGTTAGAAGTTATGACTGTGAACCAAAAGCATCAGAGAAATTCTAACCGCAAATCTTGCCAGACAGAGGCGGTGCATCAACATTTTGGCCCACTCTGGTACAACAAAGCTCTTTCACGAACACTGGCCGTGAGAGACACCATACGATTAATACAGATTCTAGGTAGGCCCCCCACGGAATTACCTTAATAGTGCAAAAATCCTATGCATAACCTCAAACTCATAGCATATGGTTTTAACTCAGTGCACACATGAAAAAAACAAAAGCATATTTATTTCCTTTGATCCTTACTCTGATTCTAATGATAATATCCATAAATTCTAATGATAATATCCATAAAAGCAGTGACCTAGGGTATTATCAAGCAGAATGTGAATAGATAATACTTTTCTCAGACAAGAATACATCGAAACATTGCATATTTAAATAAAAACTCTAGATACGCAAAACTAGAAAATTTTTCTTCAGAAGTGCTTAAGTTACCTCCTAAACTATTACTCTCTAGTGTTGTTACAGAGCCACAACCAAAGGGGCTGATCACTTGCCAGGCGGGCGCCAGGGAGGCTCCCAGGGTGCCGGTGCCAGCCCCGAGCAGAGGCAGCGACGCGGCCCCGGGAGCAGGGCCGGCCGCTCCGCTGAGCCGCGCCGGCCGCACACGGACCCTGCCTGCACACGGACCCTGCCTGCACACGGACCCTGCCTGCACACGGACCCTGCCTGCACACGGACCCTGCCTGCACACGGACCCTGCCTGCACACGGACCCTGCCTGCACACGGACCCTGCCTGCACACGGACCCTGCCTGCACACGGACCCTGCCTGCACACGGACCCTGCCTGCACACGGACCCTGCCTGCACACGGACCCTGCCTGCACACGGACCCTGCCTGCACACGGACCCTGCCTGCACACGGACCCTGCCTGCACACGGACCCTGCCTGCACACGGACCCTGCCTGCACACGGACCCTGCCTGCACACGGACCCTGCCTGCACACGGACCCTGCCTGCACACGGACCCTGCCTGCACACGGACCCTGCCTGCACACGGACCCTGCCTGCACACGGACCCTGCCTGCACACGGACCCTGCCTGCACACGGACCCTGCCTGCACACGGACCCTGCCTGCACACGGACCCTGCCTGCACACGGATCCTGCCCGCACACGGAGCCCAGGCCACACACGGACCTTGGGCCGCATGCGGACCCTGGGCCTCACACGGACCCTGCCCGCACACAGGCCGCGCAGGCGAGCCCTGAAGGCAGCTCTGCTTCACTGCAGGGCTTCTACGGGTATTTACACAGGGGAAATGGGCTCCAAGAGAGAAAGAATAACATAAAAGAGTAACGCGGGGCAAAAAGCAAAAGCCCCAAATCAATGCCTAAAATAAAAATCAAACCAGCAAATCTTATAGGTCTTAAACTGTAAATCGAAGATTATAGAGTTTTGGTGTTTCTCAGCTTTTTTTTTTTTTTAATAAAAACAAAGCAGTTCATTTCCAATGAGAAATCAGAATGTCACTGTTGAAATGATTTAAGACTTATAAAATTAATACTGTTGCTTTTGGTTTGGACTTAGCAATCTCTTCAGTGACTTGCAAATACCTGAAAATAAAACTAAGGCTCCTTCATGACATGGGCATTTCTGAGCAGATTGGCCTATATTAAGAAACGTTTTCCTGAAGGCTCTTGCACATGTGTTTTGCCAGAACACAAAGTGAAACAAAATCCCCAGAGCTGTATTAAAATGATTCACAGTCCTATGTAGAAAGAAAACCTAAAATAAATAATTTGGCCGTCAAGTTTTTTCTCACATAAAGCCGTTTCTTTCTTTCAGGTGGGTACTCCATGAGGAGTCACCTCCTCCCTCCTGTTCAGGCTACTCGTCTCACCCTCCCTGGAAAAGCAGCAGGATCCAGAGGAGGTGAGGGCGGAACGGCAGCCCCGGCGCGAGCAGCGTCACGCGGAGCAGCGCGGCGGCCCCGTCGGTGCACACGCTCCTCTCACCCTCACCCTAAGGCAGCAAACGCTACTAGTCACTTCAAGAAAGGATTACCTTGCCCAAAAGAGCTCTGTTTAACAAGGACCTAAAACGAATTCTTAAAGAGCTTAGCAGTTTATCAGCACAGCGATATTATCTAAGAACTGCTGCATTTTCCTATTAGGATCTGTACACCTTTTTTCCCCCTCAGAATATCTTTATCCAAAGAAGACCATTTCACAGGACACGGAAACGGTGGCTGAGGCACGGCAGCCTCT